AGTTATAACTCGTTATAACTCAAGAAAGGGGAACACACAATAGATCTATAAGGTCGCGGTGATTAACTCCCCTCCTAAACATTCTACATTCTACATGCCGAGAAAACTGACTTAGGGCCAGTTTTATACGTTTGGGTACTTCCTATAGAAGATGAGAGGCATTGTCGTTGGTGGGGAAGCTCCTAGTCAAATGCTAAGGAGAATCTCCTCTGGTACTTTTCTGAAGACTACCCTCTACTGGTCTCAACCTTGGGGCACCAGGTGGCAACCCATTATATTTTCGTCTCCCTTATTTCTACATGCGAGGCTCCGTTGAAGTAGACCGACTATCCTTTGCGGCGTATCACCAGCTTTGCCAGAACTCCAATGTAAGGACATCGAGTTGCCGAGTCATCAACTGGAATGACGAGGGGCATGCTCATATCCTCACGATAGGAATTGACCTCATATCTAAGGAGGCAATAGAGAAAGAGATATTCTCTATTATAGATCCGGGACAACACCCGTATCAGCTCAAGGAGAGACCTATTAAGGAGGAGGAAAAAATGGAGACAGATCCTCCAGCCTCCACCTCAAGGGTACCTGAGCTGGAGACAAGCTCCTCGAGTGTGAAGGCACAGAGAGCGAAACTGCAACCGTGGAAAGGTGTATATCCTCGTAGGAGGTAGATGTCTACTCCTCGGAGGATGAACACTATGAACAGTTGTTTATCCTCATAGGAGAATGGGAAATAGCTTGTCCCCCCTACAACAGGAAACTCCCCATATATGATAGGTTATAGACTGTATGATGAGTTATAACTCAAGAAAGGGGGACACAATAGATCTTTAAGGTTGCGGTGATTAACACCCATTCCACTTATTCTACATTTTACAACCTACATGTACATAGGTTTGGGTTAATCTTCAGGTAGTAGTTAATCTTAGGGTGAGGTTAGGTAGGACCAGGTTAAACTACAATAATTTAAATATTCAACATGCGCAGAAGTATATTTTTTTTTCTGAAATGGTTATATTTGGCGTCTCTCTCGGTTTTCATTTTTACCTACCGTCATATCGATTGATTAATAGTTTATTCATCTCATTCATTTCATTCCGATTTATTGACATGGAGGAACTATTTCAAGTATTATATAAATTATTTTAACATTTTATACGTTTCACACTCTTACAGAAGAATCATAAAAACAATACCACATACGCCATCAATATTCTCAGTACAGATGATAATGATGCTATTTAAAAAAAATAAAAAAGAAGCGCCAGGAGAAAATATTCATATATCAGCATGTATATAATTGATCTAAACAAAAAAAAAATTCCAGATTAAACTAAAGTTTAAATTTTACATTAATCTTAACTTTTATCGAAAGGTATAAAACTGGGCCTTAGTCGAACAAATTCGAATATTTATGTTACCTGCAAACTGCCGAGGGTTGCTTTACCATGTAGTATTTTGGAAATACCTTATTTATGTTTTATGGTAACCAGATGGCTTTAAGTGAACTAAGGTCAGTCTTAAAGTCGTAGTTGTATTGAAAAGAAATTCTTGCTTTGTGTAATTTACAAAATTATATTAATTCGGTGAGTTTCTAACAAAACATCAATTTCCTAATTTTAGGATTTTACAATATTATGATAAGTCTTTAACCTGGTCCCTACAAAATATAAACATAAACTCTGCAAGGCAATGAGTTGTTAAATCTTTTGATATAGGGTAGACGCACCATTTGTGGCCATTGACCCTGTTGTAGCCACTTCTTTAAAAAATCTTAAAATTTAAGCTTTTTCACGTCATTGTAACAACCGTGCATCTATAATTTTCTAAATAGATATACCATATTCGATAGAAAATATTCAAATTTGGTGTAAAAGTCGGCCGTTAGATCAAAAAGTAGTAGCACATATTTACTAGATACTGTTTTCTTAACCCATTTCTTAAGGATAGCTTGTTAAGTAGAACTCAAATTATTAACAATAATCTGTATTGGGGTTTAATTTTCCATGATTTTAATAAATATTATACATTTGGCCACTATTTTTTAAATTTATTATATTCAAATAATTAATATTTAGGAATTCTTTCTGTGTCCACAAAAGCTGTAATTAAATTTTAATTATGGTCTACTTGTGGCCAGGTTATGGCCAAAAATGGTGCAATCGAAATCTAGTTGTGGCCACATATTATTTAGCTTTATAATATAAGTGCAAACGACGGACAACATAATAATATATGAAGAACATTTTATTTGTTATTATTCAGCTTTTAATAAAAGCTGAATAATAGTACCTAAATATAATAATATCCCAAATACAATTATCGGCCAAGATTACCAATCTGAACATATATCGTCATCAAGTTTTCCTTCAGATGAGAAAAGGAATATAGAAAATAATATAGATACAGAACTAAATGGAATAAACATGAACGAATGCGATGAAAATAAAAATTATGAGAATTCAAAGAAAGATGATTCAGGACTACTAAACCAAACCATGCAGGAAATAATTGAACGAATAATTGAAGAGAATTGAAGAATTTGGAACGAATAATGCCCTGGAAGATGTTAATCTTTAAAAAGAAAGAGGCTACATCTACCATTAATCATTACCTATGATAAGTGGATTGAATTAATGAAAGGAAAGGAGAAAAAAACAAAAACTGACAATAAAAACTTTACAAAAAAGAAAACAATTAAAATAAAATTTAAAGAAAATAAAGATCTTTCTAGGAGAAATGAAAAAGAGAAACCAACACCAGCTTAAACTTCTGTGACATCTGGAGAATTAAATATAGGAAATTTTATTATTTTAAAGTACCGAAATTAGTTGAATCCAGGAAGAATATTACAAATTGAAAATAATGAATATTATAGCTATAATTGTTCAAATCTGCGGCAATTGGAAGTAAAAATGACTTGCTTTAGTACAAACTGAGTGATATAACAATGAAAATTAATGAATACCTGAACTAACAAATATTCAAGAATATTCTGATAAATTAGTGTACTTTGCTTATTGTTCCTCACAGTAGTAGTAATATGTACCTAATTTTTATTTAACATTTGTATAACAGACAAAAAGCAAAATAAGGTATTAGGTATCACTTGATTTGTTTTAAGAATTATAGGAATAAACGTTCATGCTATTTTTTGTTAAAAATATAAACAATTAAGTGCCAAATGTCATTTTAGGTCTTTTTTTGAAAGAAATTAATAAATAAAATAATAATATTTGCTTTGTTATCTGCAAAATTCAATATAGAGAATATTTTTGCAAGAATGTGGCCACAAATGGTAGTACCTAAATGTGGCCACATTGGCACAAGGTGGCCACAAATGGGAAAAATCGTATGTTTTCATAAAATGCTTATTTTCTGTTTATTAAGAATACAAATCTTTACAATAAAAGCATATTTTGAAAGAAAAATGTTTGGAGAAGCACCAAAAATTTTGCTTTATCTCCAAAATTAACTACAAATAGTTTTTCTGATAAGTCAAATTCTAAAAATCCCTTAACCTGGCCACAGCCGGTGCTTCTACCCTACTGGATGCGCCTCAAAAGTGGCTCAGCTCTATAACTTTTTTATTTTTTCAGATAACTAAAAATCAAGATTTGGTATATGTTAGTATATGGCATAAATTAAGATTGATTGACGTATTCAATTGTTTTTGGGCACTTCCTGTTTCACCCAAAATTACAACTTTTGATTACCTACAACTTTTGATTTTTAAATGACACCCTCAGTATTTTTTTTACTTTATTCGATTAATGACATTCTGAATAAAATGGCGTATCACATGTCAGCTTTTGACATTCTCGCTTAATAAAAATCGTATTTTAAATTTCAATCTAGATAGATAGTCACGGATATGTTAAAAACACTACTTCTTAATCAATAAGGCGCCTTGGAAAAATACTCGTAGATTTGATCGTCTAATGTCTCGTCTGATGTCTGGCCGTCTAATTTGGAAAAAGCATTTTTTTACGAATAATTTGATACCACACACTTAGTATTTCGAGCCAAATTTTCGTTACGAATCGCAAGTTATCCCTGCAAATAAACCATATGCGAAAATGTTAAAAGTTGACTATTATGCTGTCATTTATTCAGAGTGTTATTTTCTATCGAATAAAGACAAAAAAAATACCGAGGGTGCCATTGAAAAATCAAAAGTTGTAGTCATTTCCGGCGAAACAGGAAGTGACCGAAAATAATTGAATACGTCAATCAATCCTAATTTATGTCATATATTAAATACCAAATCTCGTTCTTTTAACTGGAAAAATAAAAAGGTTATAGCTGTGAGCCACTTTTGAGACGCACCCGGTATATTAATTTTTATTATTGGAAAATTTGTTGCTCGATCACTGTTGTTTTTCTGATTATTTACAGAAAAAGTGTCATTCGCTCACCTTGACATCTAGATCTTGCATACTTAAATTAGTTTTATTGTTTTTATTTTATTTGTAATTACTTTTATTTTATATATGTATTTTGTTTTCTTAGTTTCATATTTTTATTTTCTAATTTTACGCTCGATTATAGAAATTTGATCTACATTACAGTAAAATAAAACACTAATTCACCACAAAATACACCAAAACACTTTACTTTTAAACAGCATCATTAGCAGATGATTAAAACTCGATTAGTTTATGGTCATCTGTTGATGATGCTGGCATGGTTAGTGAAAATAAAGTGTTTTGCTGTATTGTGGTGAATTAGTATTTTTTTTGCTGTTGTAACACCAAGTTTCCAAAGGGCCCAACTCCACTGTAATCAACATTACAGTAATAAAAAAGTAATAGGTAAGGTATTAGTTTATTATTAAATATTAAAGTAAGGTATTGGTTTATTTAAATAAAATACCTAACAAAATATTTATTAAAAAGTATTAGTTAAACAATGAATTTAAAATATTAATGAATAAAAATGAGCTAAACTTAATAATATTATCTTCTTAGTGCGACCCTGTCCGTTTTACGCTGACGCACGCAGAATCGCACGTCGTTCGTCGTTTATTTATCGATTATCGCAATTTGGTGAAAGAGCAGATTATTTAGTTAGGTTATGGTACTGAATACCGACACAACGTATTATACCGTGTTTCTTCTTTGCAGTTTACGGATTTAACATTTTTCGTTTAAAATGGCAGCTGAAAGTGCACAAGTTATTGATTACTCCAGTCCGTACAGCAACTACAGGTCCCCATTAAGCACCAGATATGCTAGCAAGGAAATGCAGTATAATTTCAGCGATCAAAACAAATTTTCCACATGGAGGAAATTATGGATAAATCTGGCTAAAGCTGAGAAGGTAAGATATTGATTTGCTTTTCAGTGAAAATATTTGAGAACAGTTTTGTAAAGTTCGTATTAGTTTTGTTTATCTTTAAATTATTACCACACAGCTGACTGCCGGACTAGTTAAGCCTCGTCAGGTCCGTATTTTAAAGAATTTTAATTTTAATAATTCGTTTTTTTTAATTCAGTCAGGAAATTGTTGATTAATTTGAATGATTTTTTAAGATATTTATACAAACGGTGGTTATTGATTAATGGCTGGTTAATGTCAGTTTTAATAATTTTTTTATTAAAACTTAACTGTCTGAAGAGAGTTTCATTGTTCCCAACGTTTGTTTACTTAATATGGGAATTGTTGATTAGTTGGTTAATGTTAATGTGAATGAAACTGTTTTTAATTTGATTAGATATTTTTTTCACATATAGGTTTAGATATACAGTATGTCCCCCAATCGTCTTTACAAAAGGAAACATTTTATTATTATTTTTTTTAGAAAAATGCATTTTTATAAAACTTTTTGCTTGTTCGAAAATGCTTAATTTCATTTATATTTTCCCAAATTTCCATACAGTTTAAGAGGAAAATAAATAAAATATAAAAATACAATAGGGAATGACCTTTTCTGTAGCATTGAACTAAATAAATTTTGTGCTTCTTTAACATTTTTAAATAGCAAAAAAGATGACGTTAATCAAATCTGTCAAAGAATGAAAACGAAATTATATACCACAGAAACGCTTTTTCAGACTTTGGAAAAATTAAACTATGTTTTTATGTTTTTTTTTAATTTTCTTTAAAACGGTATGGAAATTTGGAAAAGTAGAAATAGGATTAACCATTTTAGGACAAGCAAAATTTTTTATGAAGAAGGCATTTTTCTCAAAATGTCAATAACAAAAAGGTTTTTTCTCTTGTAAAGACAATCCGGGGATATTTTTGCTTTTTTTACTATTATTATTATTTTATTATATGTTTTACTATTACGTTTATTACTTTATCTCTTTTGTATAAAAAGTGCATTGAAAATGTGTTGTTTTTTTTTCAAAATTATCCTTTATTAATATAAGAAATAAAAATAGTACTTTAACATTTGCATAGTTTACTGTTTCATTTACGTTTCTTCTTGGTTTCTTTCTTTAGTTCCATTTTTATTATTATTTTATATTGCAATATTTATTTTTAAATTTACGTTTCGGTTCCGTTATTATTGCGTTGAAGGTACGTTTGTATCTTCACCGCCAACTACGCTTCTTCTTCTAAGGACTATAGTTCTGTCATTATTTTCATTATCCGTTATTTCTATATTGAAATGAACTTGCGATTTGTGCCCATTCCCGATGTTATCTAAAATACGAATCAGCAATTTTTAGTAGCTACAATGCAATTAAGAAAATGGCAATTATCTAAAAGTGTATTTGTATAATATAAAATAACCTTAATTTAAATAAAATAAAATGTGGTCAAGGGGCTTACAGAACTGACGAGGCGGAGTAATGATAGGTGTAAAAAAGATCAAAAACCTTGGTAAAACAAAGCTGTGCCGATGACTCCTTAATTCCTGCATGCTCTGAGGAAGAACTTGTTGAAATAATGAGAAGTCTGAGTAAGATCAGTGCTGAACATGGTCTTATGCTGAACAAAATGAAAACGAAAGTTATGATAATAGACCGAAATCAAAAGTTGAATTACCTCGGATCCCTCATAAGAAATAAGGGAGGCGAAGAAATGTGAATGTGAGAATAAAACTGATAACTCGAATATGGAAAGACGCGACGAATATCCCAGCGCAACAAATTAAAATTAGTAGACACATTAATCTTTCTTATCGCTGTACTTATGCATCTGAACACTACAAATAGAAAAAAAAGATGCTTTTGAAATGTGGGCCAGTGCCTTCTATTAAAAGATCAGCCTGCGGACGAGATTTATGACGTCACGCTAGTTAGATATAACGGATTAATAAATATGTTGTAGAATACATGGAAAACATAATTATTCCTCAGATTTTTGGTTTGTATTTTAAAAATGATATAGTTTACATGAAATATACATAATATACAGTTAATAACTACAACATATATACCTATTTATAGTAATAAATACTTTGGCAAATAAACTATGAACCATACAAATGCAGCAAATGTTTTACAATGTACAAATAATGTATAGGTACATAAGATAATGGGTAAAATGTAAATATATTATAAATTTTGGGGTTTGAAAATCGATCTAATTTAACAAAAAACATTCAATATCTACTAATAGTGATGTATTATTATTTGCATTCACAAAATTTATATGTATATTTTGCAAGTATCAATGTTCGAAAAATTATATTTACAAATAATACAATATTATCTAAAAAAAGGCGTCAGCGATGGCTATGAAATGAAGATCGCTGGCATTTTATATAAATTATTCTAATTTTTGATTTTCTTGGGATTTGATTCGGGAAAAACGCTGATTTAAGTTTTCATTTGTTTTCATTATTTTTATTTGTTTTAAAAACGTTTCGGTTAACTATAGCCTTCATCAGTGTTGTGTCATATGAGAAAAATAGTGTCGAATATAATCCAAAAAATTATATATACAATATAATTCACACCTCATAATGTTTACTGCAATTAATAAACTAATATAAACTTATCAAAAGATGACCACATATTTTTTAAAATTATTATTCTTAACACTAAAATTATCTACATTGACTATGGAGTACGCAGTAAACATTATGTGTGTGGTGTGAATATTTTATATCTAATTTTTTGGATTATATTCGACACTATTTTTTTCATATGACACAACACTGATGAAGGCTATAATGTTAGCCGAAACGTTTTTTTTTAAACCAAATAAAAATAATGAAAAACCAAATGAAAACTTAATCAGCGTTTTTCCCGAACCTAAATCCCAAGAAAATCAAAAAATTTAGAATATTTAGAAACAAGGTTCAAGAATATCAAATTTTCCAAGATTGTAAAATTCTAGTTAATTATTTTATGTGTACAATTATTTAGGGAATGTCATCGATGTTCATTTCCAAGCCAACTACACGCCGATTTTTTTCGATGATACGGTATAATTCTTACGTAAAATGTAAATAACATTAGACCAATTAAAACAAAGAAATATGAATTTCTTAGTATTTTTAGTAACACCTTTATTCTTAAAACTTAATTTTGTATTATGCAAATATACCAATTTTATTTTTATTTTATTCATATTGTATTCAGCCATCACTTAAATATTTGATATTAATTTGGTATTATAAATAATCAATACTATTCATTAAAAATTACTGAACAAATATATGTTATGCTTGACAACTTGACATACATTATATATTATCAAACAAAAACACATTCTTCTTTTAAACTGTATCAGTCTTGTCTTTACAAAAATCTTTTTTAAAATTTGAACTCAAAATAATAATCTTTTTCATGATCTTTAATACACATATTCTTTATTTTTCCCTAGATCATAATACCTACTTACGTGTTTGAATCTATCGAAGCTGAACCAACAACACTTGGAGTGGAGATTCCACAATATGAATAAAATAAACATAATTGTCCAGTTTTCATTAATACCATCATGGGAGAATATTATTTTTAAATTTATTAAAGATATTTTCAATAGAATTCTCTTGATTTATAACTCGTACCCACTTTTCTTGCTCTTCCGGACACTTTAGGCTGCCTAGTATAACTATCCTTTCCACCAGGAACACAACAAAGATGAGGCATAGCACCAAAAACACACTCCACTTAAGCTTTATTGATGAATTGTTAGAGTCTTAAAAAAAACACACAAAAATCACGATAAGTAAAAAATGTATGGGCACTTTTAGGTTAAATCACTTACACAGCGTGTAATTTTTCAATTTTTCTATTTTTTTATGCGAAACCGAGAGTGACCATATATCTGGTAGTAGTTTATGTCACTTAAACACCAAAATAATTAGTTTTTTGCACTACAATAATAAATAATACCAAAAATCATAGAGTTAAAACCAAAAGTCAACCGACAAAATATGAAACGGAATCTAACCCAATATCTAAGTATGTACAGCTGATGAAGTAAACAAAAGTCCGCCCCCAGGCTGATCTTTTAAAGAACGGCAGTGTGTGGGCCTACAGAAGAATGCTGTGAATTTTCTATATACAGAACTTCGCACTGATTTAAAGTCGGGGAGTCAGTGCGCGGTTAGCATCGTGGCAAGATAAAATGACCCATTATGTTTGTACCCTAATGCATGAATACATGGACCGGAATTTGCTCTTCCCATAAAATCGATTTAAGCTTGATTTTCATGCATCCGTTATCCGACCATACGACGCGGTACGATATTAATTTTATTGGTTGAATTTAAAGACTTCGATTGGTTAGAAACGGTTAACCAATCGAAGCCTTTAAATTCAACCAATTAAATTAATGTCGTATCCTCGTATCGTTGGACAACGGATGCATGAGAATCAAGCTTTAAGCCGGAGTCTCATGCATCCGAAATCCGATCGTACGACATCCGAAATTTGAAGTTATCCTGTGAAATAAAAAAAGCCTGTCACATACATCCGAAAGTTCGTTCCGAAATTTGACAGTTTTGACATTTAGACCTGTCATTCTTATCAACAGTATCAACATTAATTACATGTATTATTGGAGAAACACTTAATAAAATAACTTTCTCGCCAAATATCTCGAAATTGCCCACTTCCCAAGTACTAAACTTGTTTTTAAAAATCAATGTTTTCAAAAAAAGTGAGGTTAAAAAACACACGATATCGTACAAAAATTAAACAAAATTTAACTTTATACGACGTCGGACGATTAGTTAAAAATATCGGATAAAAATTGGTGTCAAAATATTTCGACCAATAGGAGTACCGTCCGTCGGATCGTCGTGTCATCGGATTTCGGATGCATGAGACCCCGGCTTTATTCAACTGACTGGCCAGGGTTGGGTAGGTAGAAAAATAATTTATATATTCTACGGTATTTTCTACACGTAGAAAATTAATTTTCTACATTTTTTACATGATCAGACGTAGAAAATTAGTTGTGTATATTGTAAGCTGTTTTTGAGTTTATATTTAGGTATATTTCAAATACTATAATCACTAATAACGATATTTCTAATTTTTAGTTGTTATTTAACAAATGGATAGTATATAGTTTGTCAAAAAAGTTTAACTACTAACTTCCATATTATTTTAAATATATATGTACAACGGGAGAATCCGGTGACAGTGACGTTGTGTCATTATAATTCACAGGCATATCGTAGCGATGGGAACTATCGAATGAATTAGACTATCGAATGGTTTCTGAATGAATGATTTCAACTATCGAATGGTTTTATTCGAATAAAATCATTTATTCATTTGTATACTAAAGCATATGTAACAACCTCGCCGTGCGACTAAATGGTTATCGTTGAGCCACGATTATCGAATGCTTTTGGTAAATGAAATTTAGTATTCGTTTCATTTTTGTGTGCGTCAGTGCATTATTAGTTCTTCCAAATTTTTATAACTTCGCCGTATAAATACTGTGCTATTCTTGCGTTTATTAAAATATTTAAAATACTAAAATAGTAGTTTTTTTTATTTTATTTATTGACGATTGTGTGCATGTGCAGGTGGTCAAAATTTTTCCGAAAATTTGTGTGGTTTTCCGTAGTCCGATCTTTCAATTATTTAATTTTATATATATTATATGGTCTATTTTTTAATGGGAAATTTTGAGAAGTAGCAATTTTTAAGAGAGATGAGATGAACTTACAATTAATTTTAAAAATACATATTTGTATTTTAGATGTTTTAATAATATGAATTAGTTGAACTCTTTGAATAAGAAGACTAAGGAAGGAGCATATCAAAAATCTTAGGTACACCGCGATGGGCCTCAAATATGGCCGACTTAAATTCCGGTTTATCAGTGTCGTTCTAATTTTATTTAAAAAATGTAAAACTATGATGTAGGGTAGACGTGGGGTAGCTCAATAATGTGTTTTATTTTACGTTGTGAATAAATGAAAGTAGTTATTAAAATTGTTATAAAAATATATAATTCTAATAAAAATAGATAAGTTATAATAAGTATTTATTAACACAGACATCCGATACGCTACTGAAGCAGGTAAGTCAAATTAACGTATCTAAATTCTTTGACATCTAATCTTTGACAAGTAATAAATAAAAGCTAAAATGCAAGAAAAATATATAATTTAGTTAATTTAAGTGAATTTCATAAATGATCGGTTTACTACACGTATGTATATTATATAGTCACTTACTAGCGAAAAGTTGTTCCATTATTTGACTCAATTTTTGCCGAGATCTACCGCACGCTACACAACCAACTATTTTAGAGTCTTTTTCGATAAATTGCGATAGTGTCACTGTTAATTTAAGTTCTGCCACAATTTCCATCTAGATTTACTACCTTTATACAACTATCAGTAGTAGAATAAATAATAAATAACATAAAATAAGCTCCATAAAGACTGACAAATCCACAAAATTTCAAATCAAATTCAAATGTGTCAAATGAATCGTCAAACAGAACTGTCAAGGATCCCCACCCTAGAGAGCTTTTATGGTGGCTTTTCCGCCCACCATGCATGAATACATGGATAGCATTATGCTCCTTCCTTAGTCTTCTTATTCAAAGGTTGAACTTAATAATCATATTTAAGTAATGTGGTAATGGTTATCGAACTCAAACTATGGGGTGAGAAAATTAAAATGAAAGTTTTACACGTGCCAATTTAAAAAAAAGGTTAACAATGTTTGTATTTTGTTTATGCTAATTCTCTTACATGTAGTTTTTTCCGAAGAAATATTTCATTTATTTTTTAAAGTAAGTGCCAGTAAAAGTAAATATAATTTTTAAATAGTAATATAAAGCACCTAATATAAATAATTTTGATTTCTAATTTTTTATTTATATTTTCCTTCCATTACATTGCATGCTTAGAAAATTAATAAATGTTTATATTTCATGATTTTAAAATTTGTTGTTAATATAGCAAATTAGTTCTGTAATTATTATTCTTTAATAAACCAACGGTGCCAAAAAATTTAGAGACTATATTATTTTTAAATATTTAAATAGGATCTAATATAAATAATTTTGACATCTAATTTGTTGTTTATATTTTGCTACTACTTAAAATAATGTTTATATTAAATGATTTTAAATTTTGTTGTTAATAGGTATAACAAATTATTACTGTTATTATTATTTATTAAACCAGTCTTTGCTTAAAAACATTAAAAATCATTTTCCTACATCCAAAATAACAAGTATTATTGCAGTGTAACAACAGAATATTAATTAAAAAAATGCAGAATATATAGACATACTATCCCTAACTAACTAAAGCCAAACAATAATATTCTTTGCTAATATCAACTAATACCAAAATATGGCAACAGCGCCCTTCATTATGTATTTTCTGTGTAAATACTAGCACCTCAATAAAAAAAATAATGTGTCCTTATTTTTATCTGTCTCCGCAAAAAATCAAAGATGCCGGCTTCTTTCATAGCATTGCCACCGACCGCTGTCGGGTTTCTCGGAAAGAAACCTACGTCGCCGGGCGACAACTAAAATTCAGTTAATATTTTATTATAATCGATCCTGACGAATAAATGAATTTTATAAATGAATAATTTTTGCTGCCGAATTACTAGAATACAATGTTTCAAGGCAGATGACGGATCTATTCGATAATTTTTATTCGAATAGTTTTCAACGAATGTTTTCTTACTAACTATCGAATTATTCGAATGAATTGCAACTATCGAATGTTTCGATAGTATTCATTCGATAGTTCCCACTACTAGCATATCGTATTTTCTGTAATTTTTGGATGTCGTCTGTCAAAATCATACCTGATTTGTAAGACACTTTAGTTCTGTAAAATTTGGTGCAGTATGTTTTAAGTTTAACAAAAAGTTTACAAAAGTAAGATCAAAGTTTACAGAATAAATCTGTGTAATTCTGTAAACTTTGGTAAAACTCAAACAGCACAACATAAAAAAAAGATCTAATACAATGAAAGTAAGAACTACAAACTACAACAATTATTATCATATGTATATAGTTTATGAAACAATAGGTTTTGTAGGGTAAAATTAAGAAAAGGAACAACAAAAACTTATAAGAATGAGACTTTTCTGTACGGTTTTCAGATTAAATAGAAAAAAATATTCTACTAGTACCGTCACAGAATAGAGAGATAGCGCGCGCACACATATTACATATATTGTTTTAACATTTATGGAATTTAAAGAATATACCAAGGAAGAAACCAAAGTGAAAAACGGCTTTAAATATACAAAATTAATTTTGTGCCTGTTCTCAGATTTTATACGTTTCCACTTAATATTCCACATTTTCTACGCACTTTTCTACATACACAAAAAAAAAATTTTCTACGCGTTGTTACCCAACCCTGGACTGGCTAAATTACCGCCGGCAAAGACAATTGACGACAAAAAGACCGCCTAAAGCTTGATTTTCATGCATCCGTTGTCCGACGATACGATGATACGATATTAATTTTATTGGTTGAATTTAATTCGACGGCTTCGATTGGTTAACTGTTTCTAACCAACCGAAGTCTTTAAATTCAACCAATAAAATTAATATCGTATCATCGTATCGTCGGACAACGGAAGCTTTAAGCTTGATTTTCATGCATCTGTTATACGTTGATACGATGGTCCGACGGTGCTCTGATTGGTCAAAGTGTTTTCGCGCCACTTTTCATCCGTAAATATTTTACTTCAGCCCGTCAACGGATCCGTTCATACGATAACGGACGTGTTGACACTTTTTTGACAAATTTAATCTAACCTTAATAAAAATATAAGTAAAATAGCAAAAAATTTTTATGGAAACGAAAATATAAAATGACACCAACGTATATCCGATAAACGGAGGCATGAAAATGTAATAAACTTAAAAACTGCGTTATTTTCTAATCAATCAAAGTCTTTAAATTTTACCAATAAAATTAATATGGTATCAACATATCGTGGGACAACGGATGCATGAAAATCAAGCTTTAAGGCAGGCGGCCACTGCGAGCGAAACTAAACTAAGCTAAGAATATAAAAAGAAACGGTAACTAAACGAAAATAAGTTTCAGCGGCCACTGGGAACGATTTTCGCTTAGTAGTCAGCTAAGTTAGCTGCGTTTTCGTATTGTGTCTCTGCTATCACAGAATTAATCGCTGCGAAAAATTCGCTGGAACCTGTCACGAACTAAAACGAGCGAAACTAAGCTACGATTTGAATCTTCGTTCACATATTTTCGTTTAGTTTCGCTCAAGTGGCCGCTGATGCATTTAAAAGTATGGGAGCTGATTTTTAAAAATCTTATCTTAGCTTAACTTAGTTTAGTTTCGCTCGCAGTGGCCGCCTGTCTTTAGACGGTTTTACATAATTATTAACATGAATACCGTTGAGTGATTTAGTTGATAACGTGGTAAATTTTTCAAAGTAAGTAAGTTGGTTTTTGCTATATACATAAAGAATGCCGTCGTTCAGCGGTACACTTTTTTGAAAAACAGAAATACTTATATCAGATCAGAAAAACAGGTAATACTTATTTTACTAAAATTTTATGTGTTATTTTTTTTCCCAACGTAAGTTCCGCGACTAGGTAATGTAAAAATAAAAGTACATTTTATTTTTACACAATCGATATGAAAAGACCAAAGGTTATGTTATCATTTCGAAATGAGTTTGTTTGAATGGAGGGACTCAGGACAGTAATGATTTGGCGGTCGGTGGACCTTAAAGTTAGGTATTTTTGAAGTGAAACTTCTTTACGCGCGATAGGAGTAAAAATTGGGGGACGTGACACGGTCATGACACACGAGACGCGAGAGGAAAAGTGGTAACGATCTTGGAGCGTTGTAACTCGAGACCTATGTGAGCTAGGGGGCTGAAACCCGGAATATTTTGACGACGTTTTGTGCACTACGAAACCTCATCATCACTGAATCAAGTAAAAAAATCGGTAAATCAGTAATAGATTGGACCAAGGCCAATTTGACCGTGCACGGCACGTGTCACTGATAGTTAGCTTTGACGTAAGAAACGTCAAAAGTTGATGTCCGATCGCGACCAAATTTGGTGGGTAGACTATGTAATCAACGGTGCACGGCGGTCCCACCCAGCAAAGTTGGATGCGACGTTTCGTTTACATCTTAATTAGGGTGGGACTAACGATTTGATATTGAAGAAGATATTGAGATTGACAATGTGGGTGGATTTCGGCGTAATTGGGGACGGGCTACAGGATGAAGTTTACAAAACTCTTCGACGATTCGAACCGATGCGATGCCTCTAAATAGATGAAATCATTAGATTTTCTTAATTGTGGGTCGATTGGAACCAAACTCGGCACGTGGATAGAGGTACCCGAATGGAGTCCTCAGTCCTCCGGCTACTGCACACACAATTTTTCGGTTAGGTATTTACCTAAGTCTTTACGCTATAACAGCGACAACTGAAAAGTAAAGAGGCAACAAAGCAATGAGATTTTTGAATGTCCGGAGTGCGGAAGAGAGATAACATCACGTATCGGGTTTTTCAGTCACAGAAAAGCTCATGAAAGGAAACGCCTTGCGTAACCATCTTCTGATGCGTGCCAAATACTCGTCAGCGAGTAATGGCAGTATGTATGTAGTATTTATCTACCATGTTAAATATTCCGCCGTCAATGTCAAATTAATTCAATTTTCCACAGGCATTTACAAATATAGAAATATAACGCCGTCGGACGACGGCATTTTTTAATATATATAAACTAAACAATACTGCCGGCACGGCGGCGGCGCAGCGGTTCTTTAGCCAGTGCGTTTGTTTTGGTTTTATCAATAGATTTAGCTAACCTGTCATACTTTTATTACGAGATAAAATGCTCTTGTGCGATGTTTTACTCTCTGTCCTCGACAATCCTGTGGGATGTGGTCTGTACATTGGTGGTGGGTATGGTGTTTGGGTCGGACAACTACCAACTTGTACTTTACTAGCTGACGCTAAACTGGCCGTGCTCTTCTGGTAGTCTGGTCTGCTCATTTGCTGCAGTCGGCTACAAAAAGACATTTCTGAATAATTAAGGGAGCCCCTTTTGGTACATTCCACCTGATCAGTCTATATTAGTGACGGCGAACCTATGACCCAATAGCAATATTTTTAACTGACCCACGACTGCTAGGCAACCATTTGTTTGGTTACGCCAATGACTAAATAAGACAAGGACATGTAGCGCCCATATACGGGCTGCAGCAGAATTTGTTACGTTAGACGCCATCATATTGGAGCCTACGAATGAGTCACCACCTCGTCAACAGCGACAATTTTATCGATTTTTAATAATTTGTTGTGTGTAGTGAACTTTGTTTAAGCTTTATTACAATAGTGATGTGTTCAGCTTTCAAGTGTAAAAGCCGCAATGATAAGAAAGAGCCAGGAGTTGCGTTTCATAAGTAAAAACAGTCCACTCCACCTTTTTAGCGTTTTCTTATTGAATTTGGTAATTATTTTTTTGATACTATATGTACTTGATATGTGCTAATCGTCGATACTAGTTTTGTACCTTTTGTTAACTTTTTAATGCGTTTTTTTTTCGTAATTAATTAATATGATACCACCACCGACACCATAGGCGTAGTTAAAACATTTATCAAAGATATAAATATCTCTTCAAGCAGCTATGTTAAGAAAAATATATGGCCACGGCACTGTTTGGAGCCATGGTAATAATTTGGTCTCGGGTGTTATATGTCTTTGGATTCTTTAGTCATTGGGTTACGCGGGTTTATTTATATTTTCTAATTTGTGTGGATAGTTTATTTTTTTGTATTTTTTCAAGTTTTGGTAGTAATACAAAAGCAGCTCAAATGTTGCCTATAACCTTCAGTTTCATCATTACAGTTCTAAAGTTAAGCAAATGACGGCAAATGCGTTTGTAGTATTTGAAATAAACCAAAATTATTTACAAGATAAAGTGTATAATAGGGTGAATATAGTCAGTATTATCGGACATACACAAGTGGTCGGACAAAACGTATTTATATTGCAAAATAAATTACAAATACTTCAAATAATTAAAAACCCAGTTCTGCCAATTCTTCCGCTTTTTTCTATAACATTTTTTTGCCAAAATTGTCACTCTGAAATTGCTAAAAATGCGGGAAAGTGACCACATGTTTGTGCTTCCTAATTTTTGCCTGTTAAAGATAGAGGTGAGGTAGTAAGGTAAGTTAATTTTTTTATCTAATTTATGTACTTAGTACTTATAACTTTACGTGTATGTAGAATAGTCTAAACTTTTATTTCAAATGACAAAAAAGGATACTTAGTGATTGGACAGCAAAAATTTAGACATACGCGGATTAAAAGAAATAAAAGTTGCCCGACCACCGGTCAACGTTAAATTTAATATATTTGGGAGGTCGGACAGTAGCCCTTTTTCGACGTCATATTGCAGAGTTCACATTGATTTTTTATGGGATTTTGGTTATTTTCAAGCGTGAAGCTTAAAGTAAAAGGGAGTTGTCATCAATACACTAAAGCATTAGAAAAAACAGTCCAAACTGTCCGAGAAGATGGAAAATCGCGTAAAACATGCAGTCAGTACAGGGTTCCCAAGTCAACAATAATGTTCAAGATTAAATTTGCTTTAACATTTTAGTAGTTACATATATTAAACAAGGGACTGTGCAGAATGAGCCAATCCTAAAGTGTCCGACTTATGGTAACTACCCTGGCCAGCACTGTCCGACTACTGACAAAACAGCACTTTTATAATTAAAAAAAATTAAAACAATTGGTAGGTTTATGAAAAAAAACTCTTTATTGCTTTATTTAACGTGAATCCCAATAACCACACTATCTATTTCGTAAGATTTCATTTCCATGCCACGAATAAAGAAACTTCAATCAACCATTTAAACTCAGCTTTGCCTAAAATGTCCGACCACTGGCTAATTCTCCCTACTTTCACTCACATTTTGTTTGTTGGATAAAGTAGAAATATACCGAGGGTGCCATTTAAAAATCAAAAGTTGTAGTCATTTCCGGTGGAACAGGAACTGAACAAAAACGTCAATCAGTCCTAATTTATATGTCATATACTAAAATACCAAAACTCGTTTTTTATCTGAAAAAATAAAAAAGTTATAGGGGTGAGCCACTTTTGAGACGCACCTGGTATAATATTAGCTTGTACAACCCAACAATTTTAACATATTTTATTATTTTACATAAAAAGTTTTTTTGTGGTCTCCGTCAGGTATGATAACTTCGATTTGTATACTACTTTAATCTATTTTAACGAAATATCAATTTCTGTCTAAGGGTACGTTTATGTTGGAGCTGCGATAAACGATAAAAGCAGTGAATTAGCGCTGCTCTTATCGTTGCTCAACTGCCAACCGTGTCTCGACGCGTTGCTCCAATATAAACACCTACATATAAATTAATATAATAATACTAGTTGAAGCCTGGCGCATCCGCCACGACAGCAGAAAAAAATACTTTTTATTTTTTTTTAAATTAAGTGAAAAACAAAAAATCCGGCGACGACAGTTTTTAGAAGAGCTAATTAGCTATCTTTTAGTAAAAAAAGCAACTTTCTAGAGCAAGTCGTTACTTCAGTAGAGACGACACAGATAAACATTAGCAATTTATATATGTAGATTCTTTGCTTTGCTACTATCGCTGCTTTTATCGTTTATCGCCGATCCAACATAAGCGCACCCTAATACTAATGTATCATAGGTATCAAATTAACCAAACTGTATAAAAGTTTTGTGCCATATACTTAGAGACCATCGCCCAGTATACAGGGTGTCAAAAAATGATATATGCCCTAAAATGCTTCCCGAACAAGTTACAGCCTTCGAAAGGTTAAATAAAAATGTATCTATAAGGATAAAAGAAGTACCACAAGTAACTATCGCCATTCGTTTTGCATTAAAAGGTTTGTTCTCACATGCATCCAAACCGGTCAGAAACTTGTTAAATGTAGTTGATCACACCAAGTATAGATATGTCGTAAACGGAAAACATAGCTTACTAATTTGGTTAACTACAGCACTCAGATGCAAAAAAAGGCAACGGAGAAATTTTTGGTCAAATTTGAAGTGTTATATTTTTGTTATTTTTGGCCCTATTTTCGTGAATTTTTTAGCAAGCTGTATATAATTATATCAACTTTAATTTGTAAACTCAGCTTTTTATAAACTTAGTAAAAGTAGCCAAAGTAAAAAAGCCAAAAGTATTTGGCAAATTATACAGGGTTAATCGACGGGTTGTTTTTCCACCTTAACTTTAAAACACCCTGTGAAATAATTTCGTCTGAAATTTTTCCTAAATATTACGGTCATATCATAAATTATTATTTACGGTCAGAATTATGACTCCTGAGCATTTTGTTTTTTGATTCATGTCAATACATGGTTTGGTTAATTCTTAAAAGCGAAATAAGAGCGAAATGAACTGATAACGATCAATTTGCAATTTTTTTAATTATCATTACTTTTTGATGTTGTTTACATTAATTTTTTAATTGCCGCGTCCTTTTCTAATTCGAAGTTCAATAAAAACACAAAGTTTACTTAAGGCAGGGTGAGTTGCATAGAGGCCACTAGCTTTTTAATTTTAACAGCCAGGTGGTCGGGGTTCAAAGATCTTAATAAAAGGGCGCCACGAAATTATACTCTATGAACTCGGCATAAAAGATGTTACTATTAAGTAGACTTCAACACTAACCTCGAACTGTTGAGTGCAACTACCATGAACTCCAAATATTACTATAATTATTTGAACTTAAGTGACTCTAACTTAACTGTGAGACTAGACTGTAAATAATACTACTAAAAATATTTAAGCAATTTATTAAATTATGAAAAAGTTATTATATATAAAAAAATTATTGAAATGTAAAATGAAATATATTAAGAAATTTAAATCGATAAGAATTACTAAAAATATGAACACAAAGTGAAAATGTTCTAAGCTATACTAAAACTAAGACGTCATCCCCCTTATCTTAAACTAAATAGGTATGCTCTAAGGGCGGAATACAAATAGCAAATCTAAACCGTCTTACTCTAATCGATGTACACTCTTGAAACAACTCGGAAGTTCCTCCGGCTTAGCTATAGTGTATAGCTACAGGGTGGCTACAGCAGGGTGACTACAGCTCGGTGTACTGGAGCCCACGTATGTCAGCAGAGGTACAGGTGCAAGGCAGGTGTTGAGATTTCAAATGGTGAACATAAAAAAAAACCCTAAATAATATTGGTTGTCTTAGAAAAGAGCCCCAATCATAGAACAAGGACTAGCTCAATGTGGAGGAGTTAATAAAGGTAATAAAGAAGGACTAATTAAATCTGAACTTTACCTCAACGAGGGTGTATGATGTCCAACGGGTACCTCTATACACGAGCAACAGGAACGGATGGAATTCTGGATTGTTCTGTGCTCTACGGTCTGTATCGGTCTTCTTGCTCTACAATTACGAACAACCAAATACGATTTAAGAAAGATAACACTCAACTAATCTTGCTACATCACGTGAGCGTGGAAAAGTCGAAAACCAAACAACAATATGAACAAAAATCAGTTGAGCATTGACTTAGAATAGGCAGAAGAATTATAGCATACCTTGGAACTCTACTCGTGGACTTCTTGGGCACGTGGAACCGGAATAGCGATCGGTCGGGAAAGGCTATTTTAATTCCATTACGGAAATTGGACGGCGGTCCATACAAATCAACAAACTACAACCACACGTTTCTGACCAAATGTGTTCCGGAAATTTGATCCTCTCTAGAGAGTCCTGCTTCTCACCAACAGGGAAATTGCTTCACGAAACGGCAGCCAGTTTTTCACGATGCTATTCGGATGGTGGATACACAAGAAGCCACACAAGGATTGGATTTCCTTCACAAAATCAGATTTCAACCGGAAATCTCCCTCCAGGATATAGATAGAGAACTATATATCTCGACTAGTCCAACTCACAAAAAGGCATAAATAAAAAACGATGTTCTAGAATATTTTTGCACTGCCATATTCCGTATCCGGTCAATGAACGAACATAACTCAGAAATTCCCACATTTAAATGAACGAATTGCACACTGCGATCCACGTCAAAAATAAACGATTTAACTACGAAATTTTATCTGATTTGCATAATCATAAAATTTAAATAAAATAATATTTAACAATAAAATTTAGTAAACATGATGCAAAAATAATAGTTATTTTCGATAATTTATGAGCTAGCACACAGAGGTCATAGCGAGGAAATTTGACTGATATATAATATAACGAGATGGTTTTGGTGACTATTATCGTAACGTCATATTACACTGCATTGGATACTCTATATACATATATGGGATATACTAAATTAAAAAAAAAATGTTAAAGACTAACGATACAGTCCGGCTTTTAATAAATATTAATAACGGGTAATAGAACTAACGATATTAAAGAAAACATACAATACTAACTACTAACATAATACTACCAGTTTGTATACTGCTGTATACAAACAGAAAAAAAAATATAAAAAATACCCTAATACTTTGATTTAACATACTTTACTTTGATACTTTTACCTAACCTAACCTAACCGCCTTTGGCTACTATAACTGCCTGTATACGTGCTTTAATACTGTCATTGAGGCTGCGTATCATATTGCGTTATGTTTTCCTATTCTTCATTAAGGACCAAGCGAAGTTCATTTAATGAAGCTGGTATTGCTTCGCTACCTTTAACCCTTCTGCCAAGCATTCGTCAAATGTCGAACGTGATGGGTAGTTCATATAGTATATAATTCACAATAATCACCAAAGCCGCCTTGTCAATATAAAACAATAACTTCAAAAAAGTAATGATAATTGAAAAAATTGCAAATTGTCGGTGGCAATCTCATTTCGCTCTTAAAAATTAACCAAGACAAGTATTGACACGATCCAAAAAACGAAGTGCATGGTTCTGACCGTAAAATTATATTTTAGTAAAATTTACACACGAAATTATTGCACAGGGTGTTCTAAAGTTAAGGTAAAAAGCAGGGTTGGAAAAAATCATGATTTTTTTAAAAAAATCAAAAAAAATCAGATTTTTTTTATTTAAATCGGATTTTTTTGATTTAAATCAGATTTTTTTGATTTTAATTCAAAGCAATATTTAAATCGTATTTCCAAATGACTAGGACTTATTTCTAATTAAAGTCCTATCCTAGATGGCTAAATCTTAATAACTCTGAGCGATACCGATAACATTAACAATTCTACGGGGCGTGTCATTTTTCCACATCGGTCACCAATATATTCCGCAAAAAAGTCGCTCGCCTCAGATCAAAAGCATTTTTTTTCATACGTCTCAAAAGTATTATTTTTTGTCATTTTAACGGCTATAGGCATAAAAGTAAAGCACTGTTACGCCTAAGCACAAAAGTACAAAAATATATTATTAAACTGATATTAGGTGTCAAATTCAACGAGTGTACAAATCGTTTCTCGATTACTGTTTGTATTATTTGCAATGTTTGAAATTGATTAAAAATTTATTTGTAATTTTTTCAAAAAATAGTGTTTTATTCGGAGTAAATATGTACTTTTTGTGCCTCCTTGTAACGTCGGAAAAGCTTACGATGGTATAGCTTTACGATGGTCCTTCAAATGTACAGCATCGTCAAAAAAAGTATAATTTCTACTCTTAATAAAACAATACACTATTGTTCGGAAATAGTCTTAAGTCGAGAATGAAAATAGTATTATCTAATGTCAAAGTGTAAAGTACTTACTGCAAATCAAAATGTCGGTAAGAATTTGGAAACGTACCAACGTTTCAAAAAAAAAAATAAAGCATCTATAATCGTTGTCAGAAAATATGTTCTGACAACGATTATAGATTTTCGGGAATGAAGATATAGTCTCTATATCAGAAGAACCTAGTTCTGCACTAGTTGCCGAATGATATGTATTCGAAAAGCGAATTTTTGTCACTTATAAATAAATTCCCGCGTTTAGCGGTCTTATGGATTCACACGAAATTACTTCAAAAATCGGCTCAACATTTAAATTGATGAATAGATATTGTTATATAGTTTTATAAAATTTACACTTATTTTTCGATTTATTATCTGTTATAGAAATATTTTTGATAGTTTTCTAGGATAGATTTTTATAACTTTTACAGTTATTTTTTGATTTATTATAAAGTTTCAATAAAATTAATTTTTTGATTTAAATCACATGATTAAAATTAAAAAAATCACTTGATTTAAATCACGATTTAAATCATGATTTAAATCATTTGATTTAAATCATGCCAACCCTGGTAAAAAGCAACCCCTCGATTAACTCTGAGTTTACAAATAAAATGTGATATAATTGTATACAGCTTGCTGAAAAAATCAGGAAAATAGGGCTGAAAATAACAAAAATTTAACACTTTAAATTTGACCAAAATTTTCTCCGTTGCGTTTTTTTGCATCTGTGTGTATTTGGGATAGTTTTCTTATGCTGTGGAAACGAACCTAAAATGTGTGTAAGCAAGAGTACCAAATTTCAGGAAAAACGGTTTTACTAATGTTCTTAAAAATAAACAAAATATATTATTTTTATTTAGCCTTTCATAGGTTCATAACCATGTTCATAGGAACTTTTTGTTTTACTTTTATCTGTAGAATCGCCCACCGTAGTTAGATATACTATTTTTTGACACTCTGTATATTATTTTGAAAAGATTACCCTGCCACTCGAGGAGGAAGGGCTATGATACTGATTTTGTTGGCATTTCCATGAGGCGTGGGAGTTTCTTCTATCTCGATCTGATAATTTTGTTCTTCTGGTATATTATCCAGTGGCTGCGGTGACGGCTGTTGTTGTTCGTTCAAGAATGCACTAGGCGTGATGCTTCGGTTCGATACTACATCGTAATCGACTAGGGTTTCACTGAAAATAAGGAAATTATTAACATTGAAAATGCTTCTGTTATCCTAAAGGTGCGTCTACATTGCTCGCGAGCAGGCCGAACGAACATGTGAAACACGAAAAACATCCCAAATAGACGGAGCGAGATGTTCGCGGCGCTCGCGACTCTCGCGGTGCTCCACGTGCTTGCGGTCATATGAAATCCCTGTTTCGACTGTTCGGCTCTGTGGCGGTACATCAAAGAGACGCTTCGGAGCCATGCGAGCATACTTTACGGCGCGGCGGTTCGAAGCGCTCGAGCTGTTTGCGTTGTTTGTTTAGTTTTTAGTTTGGTTTCATTCGTAGAATTAACAAATATTTGTGTTTTGTTCTTGGATTAATAATATTAGATAGACCTTTACTAAAATATAAGAATTTTAAAATGATATTACATTATGAAACAATATTTTTTAATATACCGGGTCGTCTCAAAAGTGGCTCACCCCCTTAACTTTTTTATTTTTTTCAGATAAAAAAAACAGATTTGTATGTTAGTAGGTATATGACATAAATTAGGTTGCGAAATATAACTTTATATTTATATTGCTTACTTATCTTAATCTGATCTTTGAGAAGTTTATTTATATCTTGGCATACGCTTGGTACTATTTTTGAAATGCGTTGCCTTGGAAACTTTAAATAAATAACCCAAACTGGTATCCCATACAGCACGTCCAAATGAAATTACGTTTCTACAAGGGAGACACATGAGAAACAAAACATGGTAAAGTGAACTTAAGTGTTTATCTAGTTCTAACATATACTTATGAGATACACGCAGGTTTATATTGATAGAATTGTGTGATACAGTGTTTACTAGTTGTATACCGTATGCACTCAAGATTCTAAAGAGTTTTTTGTAACGTAACAAATAATTATTAAAATGATGAAATCTGACGTCGGTATATGAGACATACAATGTATATGTCATATGTATGTGTGATACTTCGTATCATAGTTGTGCCTATAGTACACGCCTTGTAAAAATGTGACGTATACACATAATATAAATATCTATATAGACACTTTGTAATAGTGCACTGTTGTGTCTATATTCTAGTATGAAATGAAGGTGTGCGCACGCGCGGATAGCCTCAGCGTAGACACACCGACCAAGTGTATCTTATGTGTCCTCTCTCCTTTCTCCTTTCTAGGAGTGGTATGTGTTAGCAGCCATTATTGTTTTATCATTCGGAAGCTCTATATAAATGTTCTGTTTGTGTGTAGTTTAAAAGAGATTTTAAGGTAAGGACAAGTTTTTAATTACCTTGTTACACCTTCCTAAAAGTATTATTAATATTATAGCAGCGATTACTCGATACCCAATTTACCAAATTTTGACTCCAATGAATGAAAACTCCAAATATTCTCGTATAATGATAAAGAGGTTAGCTCTGCAATATATATTTTTTTAATTTGCAAATAATAAAAATCTAAATGGACCAAAGAAAGAAATATTTAAACACTTCAAAGAACTTCTTACACTGATATTCGGTAAGTTATTGATGGATCAATATACAGATATGTTTAATATTCAATAATCAGTTTCATATAAAATTTAAGGGTGAGATTGTTAATCTGGAAATGAAATACAACAAAGTCCAACAGAATGCTCGATGAATGAGTATGCTAACAAACCAACTGTTTGGAGGGGAAAAGAGGAGAAAAATGACTAAACAGGTCCACCAAATCGTGGCGATATTGGCTTTACCATTTTAGTATGTTGTTATACTAGGTACTTATATTTTTAATACATTTTAACACAAATTCTGTTCTTTTAACAGTGTTTTTCTTACTTCTGGTTTCTGCAGTGTAAATAATTATTATTGTGTTATTTGCGCTATTGCGTTCCATGATATAAAGAAATATAAGAATTTTATTTTTTAACCACTTAATCCATTTTATGGAAGAAAAATGGTACATTTAATACAAAACAAAAATGGAACGAATTTTAAGGCTACTTCTCTTGAACTTACGATCGAGATACTTTTGGAAAATACAAAGTTTTGCCTTCCTAATTTTCGTTCTAAAAAGATATAATTGGTATCATTGAATAAATATTTCTTAAGAAGAACGAAAAGTTAGGCATCAAAACTTGTATTATTTCCTAAATTCGTTCATAAGAAGTAGTTTTATCTAGCACAAGATGTATATACGAAGTAAAATACTACGTATACACGCGGTAGTAACAAATGCAATGTGTAAACAGAGTTTAAACGTAATACACGAGCACTGTGTATCCCTTACTTTGTGTATACGTAAATGCTATACTGTGGCTACATTGTGAGGCGGACGTTTAACCCTTGTGCATACGTGTTGAACTACAATGTGTAAACGTAGCATATTTACATCGGGGGAATTGTGTAACACTGTGTCTACATCTAATAATGTAAACACATCGTAAATGTGATTTGATGTGCTGTATGGGATGTGAGTCTCCAGTTGCAAGGAATCTTAATGTTGTGGCCAATCTTTCTTTAACTCTTTCTGTAACCGGAATAGACTTCCTAAAAGTTGTATTTTTTATTTCTATACGGGGGCCACTAAGTTAATAAGTCTCTCAAAATCAGTAGCGGACATGCGATAAAAATTATTAAAAAACATTCTGTCTGTTTGTAAATCGCGTAAAAGTCTACTTTCACTGTTTTCGGATCTACTTTCGAAATTACTAGACATCTAACACTTTTTTTCTCTTTGTCTCCTTCGTTTTGCAAGGAGGTCGAGGCATATTGGGTTGAGGCAAACCAAAGTGGGTACAACTAGAACTAAATCGAAATGCGTCAAAGTTGGGCAACGTAACGCGACCTTGACGTGTTGCGAAGAGTTTCTCGCATAGTGTAGACGCTGTTTATAAAATGTTAATTATCCGGGAAAGTTGAATTATTGAATGTTATTGCACCCAACAACGCCCTAATTACGGTCTCCTTTACGCGTTAACATTTTTTCGGCAGATTTGTTAACATTTAAAATTGTCACAACACAACACGACGCCGACGCGACGCCTAGTTTGAATTCTTTTTCAGTTATTTTTTACTACCCGAAACAGCGTTTCATTACACAAACCTCGTACCTCAGTGTTTTAAGTCTCAATAACTGCACTAGCAAAAAACTAAAATACTTAAATATTATGGCAAAACCACGATTTCGATTAGGGAAACTATAATCTAGGGAAATTAACGAAATCGGTCGAAATAATTCGTGTAGTCTCGAAAAGCGATAGAGTTATTCTTTAAGGTATACTGATAAACATACTAAAAGTCCCCGACGGTGGGGGGTGAGCCGGCGCGGCGGCGGCGGTGGCGGAGTGGGTGACATGTTAACTTTTGTAGTTTGTTGCTTGTATTACTAAAACCGACTAGAATTAAGTCCATTTATGATTGTACTTTGCTGTCAAATGTTATAGAAATACCGTATGATCGAATAAAAACGGCGTCAGCGATGGATATGAAATGAAGATCGCTGTCATTTTATATGTAAATTTATATGGGAAATGTCATCGATCGTCATTTCCCAGCCAACTGGACGCCGTTTTTTTTTTGATCATACGGTAGTACACATGTTCTAACCGCGGCAAAACTGGTTGTACATCACGTCTTTTCTCCCTCCCCGCGCACTGGCAACCCCAGGTTGCCGGTTTGGCCAGTAGTCTCGCTACGCTTGTATTGATGAGCAGTGCTATCAAGGTTAATGACGAGACTGTAGTTGTCGATCCATTGTTATTATTCCAAAGAATTGCGATTGGAATGAAGGAAGATAAACATTTGGAGTATGAATTAGCTCCCTATCCGTTAGCTTTATTCAATGAAGGCTGTATGAGGAAAACTAAAAAAGCAGTCTTATATGATGTTCTACCGAATACCGACATTACTATTGATTTTAGAAATAGTATCATTGTTTTAGATGGTGGGTCCCTTCTGCACCGTTCTAAGTGGTAACTGGGATCATCTTATCCCGAGATATGTGATAGTACATTACCTATGTATAATCTCACTATGGACTGCATTGTACTGTCGTGTTTGATTTGAAGGCTACAATGATACAAGTAATAGCACGAAAACATCAGAACAAAAACGAAGAGGGGCAGCAAAATCATCTATTGATGTCAATTTTCATCCGGCTATGAAAGTTACTGTTCAACAAGAGCATTTTCTGTCAAATGCAAAAAACAAATGCCAACTTATTAAACTACTTACAGAAAAAATGGTGATGGCTGATATTGAAGCGAGAGTGGCTGTAAGTGATGCTCTCTGTCCAACTATAAGAACTGCAATTGAGAAAGCTGCAAACAATTCTGTGGTTGCTGTTGTTGGAGAAGATGTGGATCTTATAGTTCTTTTAATGGCTCTGACACCATCAGCGAATGAAATATTTTTTGTCAAGTAGAGAAAAGGGAAAATGGAAACTAAAATATTTTCTTTCCAAGAACTCCAAAAACTTTCGTATTGTTGTGCCATTCTTTTTCTTCACAGTTTTAGCGGTTGCGATACAACCTCAGCCATTTTTAGAAAGGACAAAGCATTGTTTGTTAAGCTTTTTGAACAATCCATTAATAAAGGATATTATAGCAGCCAGCTTCTATAACCCAACGTCAACTGAAGAATCCATAGTAAAGTCTATAAAATGAATAACTTTGAATTTTGACCGTTATTTTTTACCAACATGGCAAATATAAAATCCCTCTGTCAAAAAAGTTACTGATATTCTTTAAATTGAGTGCCTGAACGAATCAGATAGGTAACTCTTTTTACTTTCGTGAAATAGAAAAGGAAAATAATAAAACAAGTGACAGTTCTTCCTCTTCTTGCAAAAATCAACACGAAATGTCATAATTGACAAACGACAAAAGTAAAATGTCATAAACTTTTGACATTTCTAAATATTAGACCAATGCCGTCTCTAATACAACAGCCACGGAGCGAGATTTATGACGTCACGCTGGTTAGATACTACGGATTAATAAATATGTTGTAGAATACATGGAAAACATAATTATTCCTCGTATTTTTGGTTTGTGTTTTAAAAATGATATAGTTTACATGAAATATACATAATATACAGTTAATAAATACAATATAATATATACCTATTTATAGTAATAAATACTTTGGCAAATAAACTATGAACCATACAAATGCAGCAAATGTTTTACAATATACAAATAATGAATAGGTGGTACATAAGATAATGGGTAAAATGTAAAATATATTTTAAATTTTGGGGTTTGAAAATCGATCTAATTTAACAAAAAACATTCAATATCTACTAATAGTGATGTGTAATATGATGGTAGACTTTGATGGTATTATTATTTGCATTCACAAAATATATTCATATATTATATTGTTTACTGGCAATTAATAAACTAATATAAACTTGTCAAAAGATGACCACATATTTTTTTAAATTATTATTCTTAACACAAAAACTATCAACATTGACTATGGAGTACGATTTCAGCCATATTGTAAAACATTTGCTGCATTAGTATGATTCATAGTTTATCTGCCAAAGTATTTATTACTATAAATAGGTATATATATATATATATATATATATATATATATATATATATATATATATATATATATATATATATATATATATATATATATATATATATATGTATATATATATGTATTTATTAACTGTATATTATGTATATTTCATGTAAACTATATCATTTTTAAAATACAAACCAAAAATACGAGGAATAATTATGTTTTCCATGTATTCTACAACATATTTATTAATCCGTAGTATCTAACTAGCGTGACGTCATAAATCTCGCTCCGAGGCTGTTCTATTAGAGAGGGCATTGTGTCAGCTTGGTGTCAAGTTGCTAACCTAATAAAATTAACACTAGAAAAGCCCGCGGGAACTGTCAAATTCAAAGTTATTCGTTTTACAGACTATAGAAGCAGGAGAGAAGATGTTTTTGACTATCTACCGTGTCCCTTCTAATCAGACTGATCTAAACAGCCATCGATATTCAGTTTTTTTTTAAATTCAGTACCAATCCTAAACTGGATCTTGCTTCGCTGCCACCTACCAAAGGGTCAGCAAAATATCACTCGTTTAGAGTCTACCACCAAGTACAAGAGTGGCTAGGGAACCAACTGCCTCCTGAAATGTGGGGATGGAAGCGAGGGTTCGATGGAAACCTGGAGCCAATCACAACCTTAGATTCTCCCGCACCTGACACAGTGTTTTCTATTAATAATTCTATTTTTTGCCGCTGCAAGATGTGCCTGCCGAAAAGCTGGAATTTACTGTAGCCTTCTTTGTAATAATTGCTTAGGAGCATGTCCCAACGGGACGCCCGTTGATCTCAATGAAAGTAATGTCCATGACGATGATAATGATGATAATAATAATATAACAGACGATTAAATACAATATATACATTTTTCGCTTGATTCAAATAAATAAATTTAGGAAAATAACAAAATCACTCTTAGTTTTTCAATTTGTTAAATTTCAACACCCTGTATCTAAAAGTATTGATCATACCTTCAGAAATGAGCAAGGTAAAATTTGTATTACATTTATTTTACTAAACTCTGGTTGATATTCCTAAAGGTCTTACATATACTAAGGGCTGGCAAAGGTTAGTCTTGGGTGTAGATTTCGAGAATCGAGAAACTGTGCAGCACATTGCTAAGAGAAGTGGAAGGGGTAAATTGTTCATGGGGCATTTGTTCAATATCTAAAGTGTTTCTTGAGTTATGGCGTGTTGTGTTAAAAAGTTGAGTTTTTAAATTATCGCGATTAATGACGTTTTCTCGTTATAAAAAATGACACCCTAAAGATATCCTTATATTTCCATTTCAGATGCTCAGAAACATTTCTAATGATTTTATGTAGTTATCTTTTCGAAAACAAAGTCTTTTAATAATAAGCGGTTTGCGATCGTGATTTTACTTTATTTGATAGGGAAAGGCGTACCGGCAACGCCGCAACAGCACTCCGTCGCATTTCTTTCACTCCGACTTAGTAAGATCCCTATGCGATTTACTTCCACACATGTAAATACCGACCCAAGAGTAACAGTTGCCAGCACGGTATAAGCAAAAAACTAAAGAAAATTACCTTTTACCCCCTCCCCTATCGCCAGCTCGTCCCCCACCCTCGGGGACTTTTACTATGTTTATCAGGACACCTCAATGCATAGCTACACCAATTTTAAAAACTACACGAATTATTTCGGCTGATCATCAATTTTCAGCTTAATTTTCCTAGGCTATTATTTTAATGCGATTAACATGAAGACCTGACGCGCGACGGCCTGAAACAGGTATACTGATACTGTCTGATTGCCATTGAAGCGCTCGGGTCGGTATTTGTTGAAATCAACTGAAATGCACCAAGCCTACGAATAACTTACCTAGCGCAAGTTCGGGTTGTTGGTATTTGTGGCGGTTGAAGAACTTCTAGTGGGGTCATATTGCAACCGCTCCGTTGCTGTCCTGCAATCTGGTTGATATTTCCGAATAATTGCGTTGTGCTTGTCTGTGCGCAGCTTCCGTAGTTTGGTTGGTCCGGCGGAATCATTACACTCGTACTTTGATCACTTGGGAAAACCAGTTGACTTAGCGGTGTAGTTGGTTGTTGCCCACAGCCACCGCCGATCGGGTAATCGTACTGTATGCCTTGGTCTATTAAATCTTGGACGTCGAAATCTGGAATATATATATATATATATATATATATATATATATATATATATATATATATATATATATATATTTTTTTTTTGTATTTTTTTTTAATTGAAATGACATGAATTATTTGTGTTTATTAATTCTGTGGATCAGAAAGTGATTTAGAATAAGTCATATAAAATAAAGATAAATAAATAAATACCCTGCTAATACAGAACTAAAAGTTACATCCTAAAAAAATAAATGAAGTAAAAGAAGAGTAAAAGCTTAATTCTGTGGATTAAACTCGTTTAGCGAATATGTAGAATGTAGAATGTTTAGGAGGGGAGTTAATCACCGCGACCTTATATAGATCTATTGTGTGTTCCCCTTTCTTGAGTTGTAACGAGTTACAACTCATCATACAGTCTCAGGGCTTTAACAAAAGCCAGTATCTGAGACGGCTCCACAGAGGCCAGCTCTCCATCCTCGACATCAGCCGTACCAAAGTTCATGGCACGAATGGTCGTCGTCTCGGTGCACTCAGTGATAAGGTGTTCTGGTCTTTCCCCATTTTCCCCACAGAATCTGCATTCGCCGTTGTTTCTCATTAGCGAATATTATACAAGGTATTCACCAGAAAAATGGATCTTATCTTGCCAAGGAAACTACATAAACCAAGGTTTCTTAAGCTTATTGGTAGTCTGTTGTATAAAGTAACTCCAACGTAATTGGGATTTCGTTTGTATAATTCGAATTTATGTTTTTCACATTGAGGATCTTCTCCAAAGCGAGTTTCATATTGGCATGGCCAAAACAACGTTTCCAAGGCTTCAGAATATCCTCCTAGAACAACAGCATTAGACCTCTGACTAAAGCTTGATTTTCATGCATCTGTTATCCGACGATACGATGATACGATATTAGAATGTAGAATGAGTAAGATGGGGGGTTAATCACTGCGACCTTAAAGATCTATTGTGCCCCCCTTCCTTGAGTCATTACATAATCTATAACCTATCATACCCCTGTTGTAGAGGGGACAGGGTATTTCCCATCCTCCTCTGACAACAGTTCTTCCTCCGAGGGTACACACCCTTCCACGGTTGGAATTTGGCCCTCCGTGCCGCTCTTCACAGTCGAGGAGCTTGTCTCCGGCTGAGGAACCCGTGAGGTGGAGGCTGGAAGATCTGTCTCCATTTTCTCCACCTCTTTAACTTAGTCTCTTCTTAGGCCTGATACCGGTGTTGTCCCGTATCTATAATAGAGGATATGTCCCTCTTTCTCTATGGATTTCTCCTTGGATTTGAGGTCAAGTCCTATTCTGAGGACCTGACCATAACTCTCTTTCCTCGAGTTGATGACTCGCCAACTCCATGTCCTTACATTGAAGTTCTGACCTTGGATAAGGCTCAGCAGGTAAGCGGTGTCTTTCCCCTTGCTCTTCGGCAGAAAGACCGTTATGGCCTCCCCTTTAGGGATGTTTTCTCCCTTCACTGCAACCAGTTCTGGCCCTTGCTAATTTTTAAGCTTAGGTGCGATTTCCACCAACCAATTCGCCGATTCTTGAGATACACAGGATCATGTATGCCCACCCGAAAGTGTATCCCCGCAATACGCAGCTGACCCACAGTTTGTAGATCGTTGTGTTGCGATCCGATCGCCACTACTTCGTCCAGTATAGCCTCTTCTAGAGACGTTTGCTGGTCGGTGGTCAGAGCAACCTCTGGGAAATCCTTTGGCAGTACCGCCATTTTCTTTTGTCCAGTAATAACGGCAAAGCTCCGGAGGTCAACAAACCGGGAGGCAAGCAGGTATATCCCTGCTTGCCTCCCTGTGTCGGACGGCTTTCCATCCTGGCTTTTTTCTCTCCCTGCCCGAGAAGAGGTGAGAGGTTCTCGCTCCCTCTCTTGCCCTTTGATGGAGATGAGTCAGGTTGTTTCTTGGTTTTTTTACTCTGCCCTTTTCGGAGGAGTGTTTTCGCTTTAATTACGATTAATTTTATTGATTGAATTTAACTACTTCCATTGGTTAGAAAATTAGGCAGTTTTTAAATTTATTGGTTTCATACCTCATTTGCAATTGGCTTGTGATTGGTGTCATTTTATATTTTCATTTCCGTAACGATTTCGCTATTTTACTTATTTTTATTAAGGTTATATTAAATTTGTCAAAAAAGTGCTAAAACGCCCGTTATCGTATGAAATAGTGTATTGTTTTATTAGGAGTAAAAATTGCACTTTTTGTGGCGAAGCTGCAAGGACTGTATATATTCTAAAGGACTGTTCGATCGCGTCAAATCGCCGCTATCGTAGTCACCGTGGATGCTTACGTCACGCAGGGACCAGCGCTCCACAGTGCGGCGGATGGTTATTCTAGCGAGACAAAATCTCAGGAGCGATATTATATGGTTGGTTGATAAAAATGTACCGAAATACACAGAATATATACGACCAAAAGATATAATTCATGCATTTTTATATCAATTGGAATGTCTACTATTTATTCTTATCAGTACACATTTTTGGCTTATTTCTAACCAAACGGTTTTGTCCCGCTAGATTTATCTTCCGCCGCACTGTCCGCTTGTCCGTCAAATGCAAAAATAACTGTCACTGTCTAAAATCTTTAGCGCGAACTTCAACTCGGTCCCTAGAAAACGTAAAAAAACTGACAGTACAGGATGATAGGAATCGAACTATCCTTATATCTATAGTATCTTTGGCGAAGCTGTACGTTTGACAGAGGAGCGTTAGCGAGTCCGACATACAGCCCAGGCACAAAGTCATTTTTACTCCGAATAGAACATGTTATTTTTTTTTCAAATGCCACAAATAAGTTTTTGTCAAATCTCGTATATCGATTACATTTCAAACGAAGAAGTCCTGCGGATTAGGATTGCTAAAAATATTGTTATGGTTTGCAATAAAAACGGTCTCTTTAATTTTACGCTTTTTCCAATGAAGTTTCCTGTGGACAACCCGAGCTTCTTACCACTTTATATGGTGCTGTTTTGACCAAACATGGTCTGCAATACCTGACTCCCTTGTTTCACTTTTTGGTATATGTCTTTGGTGCTCGCTAAGTAGTACCTTTAGAGGACGTTTCATCGTCATCATCATCATCATTCAACAATGACAAATAACTTATGCTTATTCAACAATATCCAATTATGGTGTAGCCTCCCTCACATACTTAGATACTCTCTTTGTAGTTGGGCCCATTGTTGTTTATTGTTAGCTATGTGGGTCCAAGTTATCCCTGCTAATTTCCTAGCATCATGGTTCCATCTCAGGTTCGGTCTTCTATTACCACCTTAATTCCTCGTGGCTACCATGCTGTAATTTTTGTGGTCCATTTGTTGTCCGTTCTTACCAGGTGTCCTGCCCATTTCCATTTGAGCGATTCGACTCTGTGAATGACATCTATTACCTAGGTCTTTTGTCGTATCCACTTTATTCTTTTAAGGTCTTTCTTGGTCATTCCCAGCATATTTTGTTCCATTAAGCGTTGTGCGACCTGCAATTTCCTTATGATGTCGATTTAAGTGCCCAGGTTTTGCATGCATAGGTCATGACTGGTAGTACACATTGGTCAAATGTTTTCTTCTTTAGATAGAGTGGCCATTCTAGACTTAAATATGATTGAATTTATTTCATAAGTACTCAATGCTAACATAAATTTTCTGTTGATTTCTGGTAGTAGAGATCCCGAGCTGTGTATTAGTTGTCTGAAATATATATATTCTTCTACTATTTCCAGTGTTGTGTTATTTATTAGAATGTATTTTCTTTCCACTAGTTCAGTGTACATTAGTTTAGTTTTTGCTAAATTCATTTTGAGACCCACTTTATTGCTGGCGAGAGAGGTAAGAGGGCGTTTTGTCTCACCAATATACGATTTACCGCATTCACAAATCTACCACATTCAAAGTAATGAAGTGTAGTATCATACCAACAAAAAAAAACAGCGGCAGTGGTCTAAACAATAATTAGGAAAGTAGAAGATGGTACTTTAATATGCTAGCAAGCTTAACCGTACATAATTAGATGTACTCAGGTATGTATGCACCTTTGATGCATTTGATCTCTGGTTGGATGTTGGGAAATGTGGTGTGGCGATGAGTGGCATTCGTTCATATGTGATTTCTACTACAGCTTTATCCAATCCAAATCCTTTCCTGTGTGTCGATAAATGCTGCTTCATTGAAATTTCCTTTATATTAGTCGTGCTTGCTGTGCAAAATTTATTTTTTCGACCAGTTAATGGTCTGCGAAAGTGTCTATGCATCTTTCGGGATATTGGATTTCGAAGTCTCTTAAAATTGGACCATCCCCTTCTGTATTTATGATAATAATTGGTTTGGTTTAACACCTAGTGAAGAGTAGTGTTTCTATATTTTTTAGCAAAATAAGAACTATATGACTGTGATCGAATTAACCAATTAACCAATTTAATTCATTGTAACAAAGTTCTTTTTTCAGTCGCTTGAGACTATCGTAATTTGAAGAAATAGCATTTAAGATATCTTTGAGAATTGTTGTAGAATAGAATGAATGGTAGATGTTTTCAGGGATGTCAAAAAACATATTGCCTTTGCATAAAATACCCATCTGTTTCATTGTTTCTCGTTCTTCTAGTCAGAAGGTAGAAAACAAAAAGAAAAAGGAACTATTTAAGACTCTGAGAATACTTCCTTTTTTATGTCTATGAATGGTAACACCAAATGATTGATGATTGTTATAACGTTTTTTTAAACATTACCACTGCGAACGGCAGCTTTTCATCGGTAGAGCAGTCGTGGATACTGTATTTCACTGGAGAAACCCAATTAACAATACAAAATCAAAAATAACATATTTGGCGCCAGGCATGAACAGAGAAAGAAAACACAGTTGTATATTACTTAAAACTAATGACTATACTTATTCATGATGGACTCTGATGGTAAATAACATTGTAAAATTTTAATCATTATAGTGCTTATAATGTCGAGGAAAGTTATGTAAAAAATAATATTAAATATGTTGAATGAAAAA